TGTCGCGGGGGCCCAGAACTGGGCGCAACACTCCAGACGTGGCCTCGCCCGGGCCCAATAAAGGGGAATAATCACTGCTCTGGATCTGCCGGCAACGCTCCTCCTAATGCCCCCCAACCTGCCGTTAGCCGGCTGGGCTACACGGGCGCCCTGGAGACATCTCCAGCGTCTCATCCCCTGCAATGCCCAGGATGCTATCTGGAGAGGCTTCCTGTCTGCACTCTGCAGGAAGGAGACCGGACGGAGAGCGCGAGCTCCGCTAACGGCTGGGCCAGAGCCCCTGGAGCCGCGGATACTGATTATACCCCCAGACAGCGCTTAGGGCTATGCGAGTGGGAACGTTCCCTACTGAGGGGTGCAGGGGCATGGCACCAGCCACTCCAGGCAGAGACCCGGCGTTCCCTTGCCAGAGCGCGACTAGACTCAGCTCCACGGCCACGATGCTAAGGCCTGCCCCCTCCTCCCTGCGAGGGTGTGGGAAGCAGTCCCCGACCCTCGGCAGCGCCCCCATCACCGAGCTGGAAGAGAAGCCGGCCCAGCAGATTCCAACAAGCCCTGCAAATGCCAATACAGCCCCGCCGCACACCCCAACTCTCAGTGACCACATCACCTGGGCGCCTCTGGCTCCCGCCCCGGCCCACGCGCCTTATCATAATCATATCTGGAGACGGACCATCTCAGAGCTGGCGGGACTCGAGAGGCCACTGAGCCCAGCCCCCTGCCCTCGCGGCAGGGCCAGGCACCATCCCTGGCAGATTTGCCCCAGCCCCCCAAACGGCCCCTCAAGGGCTGAACTCACAAGCCTGGGTTCAGCGAGCCACTGAGCTCTCCCTGCCCGCCGCGAGCCCATCCGGTCGCAGCACCGCGCCCCGCTGCTTGTGCTGCTGCGCTGGGGCCTCGTGCCCCCGTGGACCCCAGCTTCTCCCCTCCCATGAGCGCAGCTTCGGGGGTTCGGGAGCCTGGGTCCCAGGACAGGGTGAGGGAAGGAGGAAACTGCCCACTCTGGCTCTCCCGGAGGAGCGAGACTCGCACCTGCTTCTCAGCCAGGGCCCGAGGACGCCGGGACGTTTGGCACAGAACAGGGGCTGGAACCCGCTCTCGGCTCCCTCAGTCCCCAAAGCCTGACAAACCAAGCTCCCCGCAGGCCAGGCTCTCAGGCGCTTAGCGCAGGGACAGCGTAGGCCTGGACTCGGCGCACATCACAGCTCCGGCACTGCGCGCCCGCGGGGGGGGCACTGCGCGGGGGAGGGGGCACTGCGCGGGGGGG